TGTCTTCAACAGTAAGTCTGGTTTTGAGCGGTATTACTGTTATATATATGCCTTCATGTCTAATCTAGAGTTCAATTTAATCTAGAATAAAGTTAGATTGTTTTTAGTATCGAAAACAGTTACGATCCTCATTACATTCGAAATTTTAGAGTCATTGCCATTGTTAAGTTAGACAAGAGTGTTCCTATTATATGGCCGTTCCATGATTACACGGTATTACCATATTTTCTTGTTTTTTCTAGCATGACCTTGATTGCCAGACTCTTCAGGATCTTATTCTATGTTCTGGCTCGGTTGGTTTCTGGTTTGTTCGGTTGTTTTCTGGCTTGTGATGTTAAGTTCTACTGAAGAAATTACACTCTGCTAAAATGTAAAGTAGTAAGTGTACAGCCTGTATAACAGTGTAAATTTGATGTCCCCTCAAAATAACTCAACACACAGCCATTAATGTCTAATCCATTGGCAACAAAACTGAGTACACCCCTAAGTGGAAATGTCCAAATTGGGCCCAAAGAATCAATATTTTGTGTGGCCACCATTATTTTCCGGCACTGCCTTAACCCTCATGGGCATGGAGTTCACCAGAGCTTCACAGGTTGCCACTGGATTCCTCTTTCACTCCTGCATGACAACATCACGGAGCTGGTGGATATTAGAGAGCTCGCGCTCCTCCACCTTCCGTTTGAGGTTGCCCCACAGATGCTCAATAGAGTTTAGGTCTGGAGACATGCTTGGCCAGTCAGCTTCTTTAGCAAGGCTGTGGTCGTCTTGGAGGTGTGTTTGGGGTCATTATCATGTTGGAATACTGCCCTGCAGCCCAGTCTCCGAAGGGAGGTGATCATGCTCTGTTTCAGTATGTCACAGTAAATGTTGGCATTAATGGTTCCCTTAATGAACTGTAGCTCCCCAGTGACGGCAGCACTCATGCAGGCCCAGACCATGACACTCCCACCACCATGCTTGACTGTAGGCAAGCCACAAACGCTTGACACCATCTGAACCAAATAGGTTTATCTTGGTCTCATCGGACCACAGGACATGGTTCCAGTAATCCATGTCCTTAGTCTGCTTGCCTTCAGCAGACTGTTTGCAGGCTTTCTTGTGCATCATTATTATTATTATGTTATTTATATAGCACCATCAAATTCCGCAGTGCTTTACAATGGGTGGACGAACAGACATGTAGTTGTAACCAGACAAGTTGAACACACAGGAACAGAGGGGTTGAGGGCCCTGCTCAATGAGCTTACATGCCAGAGGGAGTGGGGTAAAATGACACAAAAAGGTATGGATAGTATTAGACTAGTGACAGTTTTGGAAGAGGAATCAGTCAGGAGCTATTAACAGTTTAATTGATCATCTTTAGAAGAGGCTTCCATCTGGGACGACAGCCATGCAGACCAATTTGATGCAGTGTGAGGCGTATGGTCTGAGCACTGACAGGCTGACCCTCCAACCTCTGCAGCAATGCTGGCAGCACTCATATGTCTATTTCCCAAAGACAACCTCTGAATATGACACTGAGCACGTGCACTCAACTTCTTTGGTCGACCATGGCGAGGCCTGTTCTGAGTGGAAACTGTCCTATGAAACCGCTGTATGGTCTTGCCCACCGTGTTGCAGCTCAGTTTCTGGGTCTTGGCAATCTTCTTATAGTCTAGGCCAGGGGTAGGCAACCTTGTAGCATCACTGTGCCGATATAGGATTGTGAAGTTCCGTAGCATGCCGGTCCTATTTTTTAAAATTGAGGTGTGTATGCTGCCATATTCTACTTGTGTTATTACTGTAGATGCTTTGTATCGTTGTATTTGTGCTATATGAGCTATTATATTGTATATGTTCAGCAGTAGTTTGTGGTATTGTGTATGATATATATGAATGTGGGCGGTGTATGGGGGCTGCTTGTGGAATTGTGTGTGTGGATGGAAATGCCACATTGTGTGTGTGTGTTTGTGTGCATGTATGTGGATTGTTAGCAGGTTACGTTTGTGCGGATTGTGTGTATGTTTGTTTGTGGGCTGTTCGTATTATTTGCATGAGTAAATCTAGCAGTGTGGGTGGCTTCCCTGGGTTCCAGTGGGGACCAGGCTAATCAGGTACAGGCCAAGGACAGGAGCTGCAACAGCAGCTGCAGGCTGCTCTACTACAGTGTGGATTCCCATTCACAAGTGCTGGGAGGAAGTGATCTGAGATCACTTACTCTGTGTGCTACAATGCTTAAATTGAAGATTGTCCTTCACTACCTCTTCGTATTAGCAGATATCTGAAGTTTCACTGGGACTCCTGATGGGTCAGAGCCTGTTTGGCTGTAGCAGCCTTGAGTGCCGTGTAAAGACACCTTGAGTGCCGTGCATGGCACTAGTGCCGTAGGTTGCTTACCCCTGGCCTAGGCCATCTTTATGTAAAGCAACAATTCTTTTTTTCAGATCCTCAGAGAGTTCTTTGCCATGAGGTGCCATGCTGAACTTCCAGTGACCAGTATGAGAGAGTGTGAGAGCGATAACACCAAATTTAACACACCTGCTCCCCATTCACACCTAAGACATTGTAACACTAACGAGTCACATGACATTGGGGAGGGAAAATGGTTAATTGGGCCCAAATTGGACATTTCCACTTAGGGGTGTACTCACTTTTGTTTAGACATTAATGGCTGTGTGTTGAGGGGACAGCAAATTTACACTGTTATACAGGCTGTACACTTACTACTTTACATTGTAGCAGAGTGTCATTTCTTCAGTGTTGTCATTTGAAAAGATATAATAAAATATTTACAAAAATGTGAGGGGTGTACTCACTCTTGGGAGATACTGTATGTTCTGCCTACCATAGGATGATGATGTCGCTGAGTGGATGTTAATGTTACTAGGGGATATTGTCATTGTGATGTTATACCAGTTTTTTCTATTGATTTTAATTATTTCTTCGCTGCTGAGGGAATTAAAGAACGATAGCATAATACTTGCCTCTGTGTAATTAATAAAATCATGACTTTACGTCATGTTAACAGTAAAATCTGGGAATTCCAATAAGATACGCTATATATTGACCTGTGTTCCAGTAAGATACGCTATATATTGACCTGTGTTCCAATAAGATACGCTATATATTGACCTGTGTTCCAGTAAGATACGCTATATATTGACCTGTGTTCCAGTAAGATACGCTATATATTGACCTGTGTTCCAATAAGATACGCTATATATTGACCTGTGTTCCAGTAAGATACGCTATATATTGACCTGTGTTCCAATGAGATACGCTATATATTGACCTGTGTTCCAATAAGATACGCTATATATTGACCTGTGTTCCAATAAGATACGCTATATATTGACCTGTGTTCCAGTAAGATACGCTATATATTGACCTGTGTTCCAATAAGATACGCTATATATTGACCTGTGTTCCAATAAGATACGCTATATATTGACCTGTGTTCCAATAAGATACGCTATATATTGACCTGTGTTCCAATAAGATACGCTATATATTGACCTGTGTTCCAGTAAGATACGCTATATATTGACCTGTGTTCCAATAAGATACGCTATATATTGACCTGTGTTCCAATAAGATACGCTATATATTGACCTGTGTTCCAGTAAGATACGCTATATATTGACCTGTGTTCCAATAAGATACGCTATATATTGACCTGTGTTCCAGTAAGATACGCTATATATTGACCTGTGTTCCAATAAGATACGCTATATATTGAGATTCTATCAAGATCATCCAAATAATTATCTTAAGAAAGGAAATCAGTCTGATCTTTTACTAACTCGGAAAACATGTCTATACAGGACTTAATTTCCATTTATTGGAAAACGGTAAACCCCACAAAAACACCATAACAAAATAACCTTTGATTGCAAAAATATTGTGTGCGAGAATTATTTTAAATAAACAAAAACAGACAAACCTAAATCTAGTTATTAATGACTTAAGCGTAAGATATTGAATATTTTCCCAGAGTTTACTCTCAAATGTGGTTTTCTCACAATGAAAAAAGAAAATTAAATAAACATTGCTGTCCCCTTTTGCCACAGAACAAGAATAGTTTGTTTAAATGCTTAAGGAGTTATTTTTTTGTTTGGAGAAACGACCGACTTAAAGGGACACTATAGTTACCAGAACAACTACAGCTTAATGTAATTGTTCTGGTGAGTAGAATCATTGCTTTCAGGTATTTTAATGCAAACACTGCCTTTCCAGAGAAAAGGCAGTGTTTATATTGCCACCTAGGGACACCTACAAGTGGCCACTCGTCAGATGGCCACTATTGGTGCTTCCTGGAGCAGTGCTGCACAGTAGGCAACACTGCCGTTCAGTGTCTCCATGCTCTGCATTGGGACGCTGAAGTTTCCTGATATGAAAATACGAGGAGGTGCTTATTGGCTAAAATAGAGTTTGGCCCCGCCCCGTACATGTTTGTGTCCCTGACCCTATAATGTTCCTTTAAGCAGTTTTGCAAGTTTTGCGGTCTGTTTGTGCAACCATGATTTTCTTATTTCTTTTTAACGCAGTCACATATATTATATTTATATATTTAGAGGAAAGATGTGAATTTTTTGCGATTTGTTGTGATTGGTATTTAAACACTAAAAATGAAAAAAACAAAACACATATTTGTCACCATTTTGCCCTGTGATAATTGGTATCATTATTTAATCATTTGAATTTATTTGTAATGATTTTCAGAATACATCATATACCTGGGATTTTTTTCTCTTGTTTAATTTTACAAGGAGAACATGCACAAATTTGCCCCCCCCATGTGACATCACAATGCCCTACCCATATGATTTGCCAGGTTAACTAACGCCAGTGCTGCAGTGCCGCCGTGTTTACATTAAAAGGCCTGCAGGGACAGGCTATAGACACCAGAACCACTACATTAAGCTGCAGTGGTTCTGGGGACTATAGTGTTTCTTTAATGTGAGGTAAATTAGAGATTAGTGCCACAAATAATATGCTAGATTGCCTACTTACAACTAGATGAGGATGATGATGGGCTCTAGCTGCAGTCTGGCTCCACTGGTCTGATGTAGAACAGGCTCTCTGGAGGCTGTTTGTAACTGTGGTCACAAAAATCAATGTTCTGGGAGAACGGGAAGCAGCACCATTTTTTGGGGGCCCTTTACACAGCTCAAGGTCTGGGTCCCAGGGTCCACCTTCATGTTCCACCAATGAGTTTGTTCACAGGGGATGGAGTGTGTAGGGGATGTCCTGATATGTGTGTAAGGAATGCATTGTGTGAATCTGTGTTTGTATGTGTAAGAGCTGCAAGGTGTGTTTCTGTGTATGTACGGGATGCAGTGTGTGCGTCTGCAAGGGATGCATTGAGTGTGTGTAATGAATGCATTGTGTGTTTCTGTGTGTGTAAGGGATGCATTGTGTGTAAGGGTTGCATTGCTTGTGTATGTGTGTCTGTGTGTGTAATGTATTGTGTGTGTAATGCATTGTGTGTTTTTCTGTGTGCAAGGGGTGCATTGTGTGTGATTGTGTGTGTGTAATGGATGTTAATCTCTCCCCCCTGTCAATTTCCTTCTCTCCCCCCCCCGTCCTCCTCAATTTCAATTTCCTTCCCCCATCTCCTCAATTTCCTTCTCCCCCCCTCCTCCTCAATTTCCTTCTCCCCCCTCCTTCCTTCTCCCCCCTCCTCCTCAATATCCTTCTCCCCCCCTCCTCCTCAATGTCCTTCTCCCCCCACCTTCCTTCTCCCCCCTCCTCCTCAATTTCCTTCTCCCCCCTCCCCTTCCTTCTCAATTTACTTCCCCCCCTCCTTCCCTTCTCCCCCCCTCCTCAATTTGCTTCTCCTCCCTCCCCTCAATGTCCCCCCCCCTCCTCAATTTCCCCCCTACCTCTGTTGTAGCGTGGCCAAGCCCTATATCATGTTCCGCGGGTACAGGGAGCTTTTGTTTCCTGTACCCGGCCAAACTAACAGGAAGTGCTCACTCAGTGTGTACTTCCTGTCAGTCCGGCCGGGTACAGGAGACAGATGCTCCCAGTACCCGCGGACCATGAAACAGGGCTCGGCCACGCTACAGTGAGGGAGTGACAGGAGGGAGCGCTGAGCGCTTCCCTTCTGCCAGCCCCTCTCCTCAGGCTGCACCCGGGCGGGGAAAGCTGCAGCCGCCTGAGGCTCTCTGCAGAGCGCTCGGGCAGCTGCAGCATAAGGGGGGCCGGCGCTCCTGGCGGCGCCCCCTCCCAAGGCACCCCCACCAAGGCACCCCCCACCCTGGTGGCACCCGGGGCGGACCGCCCCCTCCGCCCTCCCCTTAGTACGCCACTGCACGTAGGTCTCTATTTAATATAGCTGAATAACCTTTTCAAATGATTTTATGTTTTTGGATAAACTTTTAATGTGATTTATTATTATGAAAAATATTTTAGCTTTGTAGTATTTTGATTTTTTTGATATACTCCCATGTTAAAAAAAAAAAAAGACATAAATTTGGTTATTTTAATCCTTTGAAAAAAATTGTTTTAACGGTTTATCCAAAAATTTTAAATCATTTGGAAAAAAATATATCAAACAATATTAAATTGAGTCCTCAATATATTGATGCTGACCGATGTTTATAAACTACTATTCCTATGATGCACAGAAAGCCTGGCCGATGTAATGAGAGCAAGCTTAACCATATGTTAATAATGTTTTAACTTTTAGAAGATTGGAAGATTGGAAACTACTGTCCCAATGATGCCCATCAGCCTGAATAGTTTACAAATATCCGGGTTGCCAAGTCTTGCAACATGTGATCAGTAATATCTGATAATTTTTTATATATAACAAAATTGTTTAAATATTGTAGAGATGTCTAAAAATCCTTTTTTCCAACCCCATACAGCACTTTGTTACATCTCCAATCTGCACAGGGTGGCACAACACTTTAAACTATGTGTTTTCTTAGTGTTAGTGTGTGTACATACAGTATATGTATATATGTATATATGTGTGTGTGTATGTGTGTCTATGGGTTGCATTTCATAAAAAGAAAAAAAAACAAGGCATTCGGGCAAAATAAGAAAAAATATTTTAAAAATAGCAAATAAAAGATATGTAAAAGTAATAATGTAATCTTTGCGTCCTAGACACACACCATTTTTATGGTTCTCCAGAACCCCCACTGGGTTTATTTTCCCATAATACATTCTTCACCGTTATGTATCCTCTATAGACACATCGACACGCGCATGTATATTAACTGACACAGATAAGCATTGTCTGGGGACTGTGCAGGGGAAGGTGAAGGGGGCAGCAGGACAGAGATTCTGATCATTTCCCGTCTCCTGTTATTAAATTTCACAAACTGTAATGTTTCATCTACAGAAGGAAATACAAAAACCGCATGTATGAATGTCCAGCCAAATAGCTGTTTAAGGAGGAGCGTCACTCTTTATATCATTGACTAAAACAATGAAAATCAGTAATGGAGTGCGTTAATATTTGTCAAGGGATGCTCTGAAAGGGACTCTGTCTCCTCACCAAACATTCTGAGTATTTTATAAAGAAAGAATATTTTGAGTGACATTCTAACGCAGTCGAGAGATGTCTTATGACAAATTCACTTCATACAAAATGCAAAGTCCTCTGAAAGTTACAGAATATTAAATATTTAGTAAATATCATCACAATCCAATCCATACACATTATAATGGTGAATAAGAAACAGAATTTAAGGAAGAAATGTAACCAAGGGTCGTGTTCTGAAAATGTTGCAAAAGAGAGTGAGTCACCAATGGAGAGTGCCTGCTGGATCCAGTGGTTTCCATGGTAACTGCCTCACTTTTAGTACTTTCGAGCATTTTTCAGAAAACAATCTCCCCGTATTTTTGTTTCTCCTTTTCTCTGTATGCTCTCTCTGTGCTGACTGCGAGTTTATAACAATGGCTGGCATGGAGCTAAGCTACAGGTAAAAACTGTACTGTTTATGTCTACAATTTTTTTTTTCAATCCTCACAAACACACGGTTTTATAGAGAATAAGGAAACCGAGCATTACAATTCCTAGGATTCTAAGAGAAGATTACTATACATATTGCTTAGAATGTCCACCCTGTATTTGCATGGTTAAGGTGTTTGCAACATTATTCAATTTTGCTTTTGGCTGAGCTACAGGTACACAAACAGTCAATCTATTCCTTTCGCTCTACGTTTCGACCATGATTCCTGCTGTGGTTGCTGGGTTACCAGATTATTTGAGTTCCAATGTGTGTTCCAAACGTGCTTTCGACTTCAGTTTACCTTCCATTGACTTGCACGCTGCTACACCGTCCGCCCTCACCTGCGCTCATTTTAATTTACTTGCGAGATATCCTTCATATTTACATTTGTCACTGTCTTGATTGGGCTGAATCGTTGATCCTTTTTTGGAAGCTATATCTTGCCTGGAGGAATAAAGCAGTGATTCATTTGCTGTTGCCGAAGTGCCCTCTTTTCTGTTGTGTGTGTGTGTACAAATGTCAAACATTTACAACAATGGAGACCACTCATTTATCTCACTCATTATGTTTTCTACCAAACATTCCCTCAGAACTAATTAAAAAGCCAATCTAGTTTCAAACATATAAACAATATGTAAAGTAAATAAACAAATACAATTCTGCAATTTCTAGAGAAAATATCTGCCCTGACTTTGCGCTAAATGCCCCCCATGTTAAATTTTTATTACATTTGAATTCATGATGTGGTTAACAGAATACTGTAAATCAGCCCAGATAAACTGTATCTGCTGTAGGTAAGTGTCAGAACAAACTGACTGAGAATATACTTACCTTCAGAAGATGCCCAGATGGTTGCCATAGTGTCTTAGCAGTGGTTTTGGTTGAGCAAACACAGCTGTGATGGATTAACCTGCCACACTCTGTGAGTCTCTGTGAGTCCTGACGGTGTCTCCGCTCTGTATGTGGGAGTCAGATTTTACCTCTCACTTTCATTTCTGCAAAGTTTCATCCCACACAACATGCCATTATTGCCTTGATTCAATAGTGGTGAAATAGTTTATCAAATTATCAAGTATTTTCGGAATGAACTTTTAAAATAAGTTTTTCAAAAAATTAACATATATATAAAAAAAGATCAATATATTACAAAATATGAAATTATGTTAAATCATTTGAAAAGAGTATAAACAATATTAAATGAAGGCCTCTGTTAATTCCTGCTATACCTGTTTATTATAATTTATTGTAGACACTGGCTGAACTGCACAATGATTCTGTTTGTTACTTACAGTCAGTTTACACTTTAATTAAAAATGTGCTACGTTTATCTGCTTTCTCATGAAAACTCTTCATTTTACATATTACAATATCTCGTGACATGTATGTTACAATATCCCTTGTCATGTATGTTACAATGTTCCATGTCATGTATGTTACAATATCACATGTCATGTATGTTACACTGTTCCATGTCATGTATGTTACAATCTCCAATGTCATGTATGTTACAATCTCTGATGTCATGTATGTTACAATATCCCATGTCATGTATGTTACAATGTTCCATGTCATGTATGTTACAATATCCCATGTCATGTATGTTACACTGTTCCATGTCATGTATGTTACAATCTCCAATGTCATGTATGTTACAATCTCTGATGTCATGTATGTTACACTATCCCATGTCATGTATGTTACACTGTTCCATGTTATATGTGTTGCTATCTCTTGTAAGGTGATCGTTGGAAGATTATGGTCATTGTTTATCCCTTAACTCCGTGGAGTAAAACTGTGCTGTATAATAACAGGAAGTAACAAATGGCAGAACGCTGCCCAAATATTAGAAACAAATAAAACCACAAATGGTTTAATGATGTACTAGCAGACTTTTACCAAAAATGATTTCTCCCGCAGGTGAGTATAACTTCTGGAAAGAGTAAAATGGCTACTTAAGAAACCATAGAAGCCACAACAGGCCATATCAGAAGGAGCCATTTGCTGAGCCCCTATCTACTACAGCCGTACTCAGTGTGCCTCCCCTGGTTAATCTAGGGCCCAGGTTATACACTGTATATGTGTTTTTTATGACAGTTGTAGCTATAATAAATACAATAAAAATAGAGAAAAACACAATTTATCAGCTTATAAAAGTTATCTTTATTAAAAAAGGATGATTTCACAGTTACAAAATCTCTTATGTCCACTCTCAAATAGCTTAACAATGTTCTAATATACAATGTATTAGCTTGACTGGCCTGAACGAACACACATACACTCCCAGAGTCTTAGAAAACACAAAGAATTTATCAATCACATTCATACTTAATATTTTAAACACAAGACATTGATCCCTGCTTCCTTATACATGCAGCAGCTGTCACTCCCCTGCTATGTATTACAATTCCCATTCTATTTATGTGTCTTTTGACAGATACTCTGACAGTTTTTGGTGATTATCGGACTAATAGTCCAATGGGCGGCACACTACTGAGGGATGATGGCTCCTGCTTGCACTGAAATCATATTATCCCCTCATTTGTACATGGATGCAGAGAAGGAAGATATGGAACAGGTGAGAATGTAAGACAGACTCTACATGTGTCTTCCTTAACTCCCCTTGTAAATAAAGTGCAGAATTAAAAACCTCTGGATGGGACCGTTAGTCTCTGATACACATCTTCCATTAGGATTCACTTATACATTTATGTCTTATGAAGCTGAACTTTATAATTTGACCAATGAATACAGACACATGGCCTCATCCTAAAGGCTGATTTAGAAACTTCATTTTAACATGTGCGTGATTTCAATTCATAGATAAACACATGTTTAGACCACAGAGTATGCCTCTCATTTATCTACCTGATACCTGCAAACTACATCGCCCAGAATGCTTGACCATCTTTATGGCTATCTAAGCATCATGAAGTATACATTTCCAAAATATCAGTGGTGCCAGGGTTACCTGCCCTATGCCAGTCTAGCTTAGCCAATTACCATCCCATCCATGCTACAATTCATCAATGTTAACTCATTATTGTTATGTTTGGGCATCTGTAGTAATTGTACCTAGTGGCATCTAATATCTCTAGCTGACCCTGGTTATTTTGAGATATACTTCTTTGACCCCCTAAATACCAGGTACAGAAGACATCAAAGATATATTTAACATTATTATCGATTTCCCCCCCCAAAGGTTATCGAGAGACAAAAACTTCTCATTCAATACAAATCATTTACAACATGCACAAATATATATATTTATTATAATATCAAAGACATATTTCTATATATTGTTAAAGTTATTTAGCTTTCTGTTATATATTACTGATGTTGAACATAAGTAAAGTGAGTTTGCTGAGTTTTTCGTCACCGATTTTAAGGTCAACAAAACCCTTAGCTCAGTGAAAAAGAAAATCAGAAATCAATAAATCTTTCTGGATCAAAACGATCAAAGCGGACAAAGAATTAGAGGGAAATCAAAATAAAGTGATTATTGTCTTCCTTTTTTCTGTAATTTTATTTGTATTCTCGTGACTATGATTCTGGAATTGGATCTTTGAAGAGTTATAGATTAAGCAGTTTTTATTACTTTTTGACTTATGATGGAGGCTTTTTCATTTTAAAGCAAAGTTCTCTTGACATAGTTTTTACCCCCTGTCCTAGAGATCTGTGTAAAGAAACGGTTGATATATATGCTGGATGAGGCATCGTCCTGATTACTTGGCTCAACAATTCCTATATATAATATTCCTTTATATATATATATATATATACACACAGATCTAGGACAAGGGGTAACGCCTATATTTCATGAGACCTTAATTTTAAAGAGAGAGAGAGAGAGAGAGAGAGAGAGAGAGAGAGAGACTGTCTTGCAGTTTTCACTAAAACCTGTTCATGGGAAACACACCACAAACTGGTAGTAAACTCACTAGAATTCTTTTCAGACCCTGGACTGATGAGAGCAAACTTTGACTCCTACTTTATACATGGGGATAAACTTAATATTTAGGAATCTGGCTAAACCCCTGTATGATTAAGAACAGTTCAAGCCCTATAGTATACACCGTGACAATCAATGGTAGTTTGCCAACGGCTATACACAAGGGTTGGGTATTAAGAGTGCGTTCAGTGACGCGTAATATTTTGTGAATTTAAAGTGAATTTCAAAAACTACTAAATAATTCTTAAAATCAACTTTGCGTCCATTTTTGCGCCTTTGGCATACATTTTGAAAGTCATTTTAAATACATGACAACCTACACTTTAGTAAATTCTGTAAAATTTTCCCCCTTATGGATATTAGGGGAACATTCAGAGGACTTCCCGAGATTTATCATTCATTAGATCATGGACATTTTAAGGATCATAAGATTGTTTTTAAATAAATGAGGTAAATAGACGAATATTGAACTAACCGTCTGTACCAAGTTTGCTCTGTTAGGTTAGTGTAGAAAATGAAGAGGTAAATGTAAACTTTTGGATATATAGTTTGTGGAATACTCCGGGCATGATTATCCTTTGACTTTTATTAGAATTTAGTTTTGTCGTTAACGAGTTTTTGTGCAGACAGTGCATACGATAAACAATGAGATCATTTGGATCAATCAGAAAGTGAAGTCTGGATACATTTTAGCAGAGACATTTAAAAACATCAATACAGTAACCATTTATGTGGACAATACATATAATTTGGTTAAAATGGTATAGCTTAACTCGTGACACTACCAACCAAACCAATAATAACACACAGGGACATACATACATATTGTATATGGACACAGACCCACACGCATGTATTGGGACACTCTATGACAAGACAGATTCACATTCTTTCCAAGCTTCGAGGACAATGTATTGGAAGCTGCAGATGGCATCTGAGTAATTTAAATCATTTGCTTGTTGTCATAAATTGTTGTAATTTAATTCAACTCGCAGTTAGGCTGCAGACTCGCAGACACTGTGGTTGTGACGTTTCTTCTAAAAAAACAATGAAAAAAACAAACAAACATATTTTAGACCTATTATTTATGGACAGCTTTACATTACATAGTTAAATACAAAATGTTCAAAATGGTCTATTCCATAAAATTCCGCCTTTTACACATCACTGATTTTTGCTTTTGATCCAAAAGAAGATAAAAGTGCCAGTTTGAAGACAACTCCAACTCATTTAATAAATGAGAAGAAAAGAATTATTGACTCTGGAAGTCAGATTTGTCCATTGATCAGGATCTTCTTGCAGAACATATAATCTACAACATCCCTAACTATTCTATTTTCTCAATGGAACCACACATTTAAAAAAATCTCTTTAGAATCTAATAAACAAGCTATTTAGGCAGAACATATCACATCTTTATTGTTCTTACTGCAAATAACCCTTTCCATTGTTGAAGGTGAAATCTCATTTCTTTAACTCTTAACAGGTGCCTCTTGTACAGTCCATTTAATGAACATTTACTACAATGTAGATCAGAAGACTAGCCACTATAACCTTAAAGTAATATTCCAAAACTATGAAATTGCTAATTGTATGTTTTCGTTGTAATAGTAAGTAGTTATGGCCTCTAGGTTTTATCCCTCTCAAAGACACCCTTGGTCTTGACTCACAGAAGCGCCACATCATCTGTAGGCACTGCAATGTCCAATTTGGGATTATGAAAATCACTTGGTCTTAAAACTAAATTCTGAATACTACTGAATGCATTGTGATATGGGTGATAAGTATGGTTTACTTTGCAGTCACTTTCTACTGACTGATTAGTTGATAAAAAAATATTTCCAAATATTTTGGTTTGTTTTCATTTTATTTTTTATTACTTTCTTTAAATGTTATTCTGAAAATATTTAAGAATATATTTAGCAGATACAAAAAAAGCTAATGTTAGCACAAAGGAAAAAAATATGCTATACTAAGAAGAGGCTCTGTTTATTTCTTCAACATTTTAGTGTATAAGTCTCTTGGTGTGTAGTTGACAGAGTAAGCCAAAGTGGAAATAAGTAACTTACCCTAATGTTGCGTCCCTCGATCATGCTCTTAAGTTTTATTGCCCAGCCGACGTTATGTGGCGCACAGAGGTGTCTATTTTTGCGGGTGATGAAGCTATGGAGGCAGAAGAGGGTGCAAAGAAAGGAAAGTGTTGAGTCATTAATTGAAACATCTTTTCCAAAATAAATATTGTTCACAGATGATGCATGTCTCCAATATAAAACAACAGTGACGTTGGGTGGCCATTTGGTGCCTTGGGGGGAAATATCTTCATTGTGCTGTTAGAAGCCAGTTTATATAATAATAATGTAAATTAAAAAACCTGACCACTGTTTGCTGAGCAGAGCACATGGAATACTAACCTTTTATGGGGAAGAAAGGGATCAATGTTTAATTTCCTTACAAGGTGACATTAATGGGTCCCCTCTTGTAATCAGAGTGTTCTATAGATCTTCATTATATTTGTGTTATATGTAGGAGGGAGGGGGTTGGCCTCTTAGGTTACAGCTCAGTAGCCAATACTCATTTCTGTGGCCACTATTTATCAAGGTCTAGGCAGACGTGATCAGACTTTTTTGTTATTAAACTTTGAATATTTTTAAGTTAAATTATCTCTGTTTTTCATTAACCTTACCATTACTAACAATGTGTATCGTCAAATTAGCCTTCATTTTACATTGCTAAGCAATTCAGCCATAATCCTTCCTAGCGTCAGCACAGCTTTACACTCTATGTTATACAAAGTACAGCAAGCTTTGAAGGACAAAATCTATGGCTGCATTCTAACACCAAGCTGGCCCCGATATTTCTATAAATGATAAATGGATACAAATTAACACCTCCAGTTAGGAGAATCCTTTTAAACTTACACAAGAGCTTTGATGTTGCACCCGTTGGTTCCATCCTGCATGTAATAAGCTTTCACTCTTTTTGCAGGAATCTGGATGTTTTTCACGTCCAGGCAACAATCATTTATATCCGCATTACTTCCGTAAACTGTGGGAGTAGAACAATAATAATATTTAATGGAGAATTTCATTATACTGTAACCAGGCTCAATGACACGTTATTTGATGCTACCATACACCCACTGCTCTTATAAACAGTGCTACCACACACACGGCTACACACACTGCTATCATACACATTACTACAACACACACACGGCTACACACACTGCTACCATACACATTACTACAACACACACACTGCTACACACACTGCTACCATACACATTACTACAACACACACACGGCTACACACACTGCTGCCATACATATTACTACAACACTCACTGCTACACACACTGCTGCCATACATATTACTACAACACACACTGCTACACACACTGCTGCCTTACACATTACTACAACACACACAATGCTACCGTACACCCACTGCTACCATACACCACTGCTCTTATACACACTGCTACCATACACACTGCTACCATACACACTGCTACAAACACTGCTACCACACACTGCTACCATACACATTACTAAAGCACACACACTGCTACACACACTGCTATCATACACCCACTGCTCTTATACACAGTGCTCACACACACGGCTACACACACTACTATACACATGGCTACACACACGGCTACACACACGCCTACCACACGTCCACTGCTCTTATACACAGTGCTACCACACACATGGCTACACATACTGCTACCTTACACATTACTACAACACACACATGCTACACACACTGCTACCATACACATTACTACAACACACATTGCTACCTTACACGCACTGCTCTTATACACACTGCTACCATACACTCACTGCTCTTATACACAGTGCTACCACACACACGGCTACACACATTGCTACCTTACACATTGCCACAACACACTGCTACACCCACTGCTACCATACACCCAATGCTCTTATACACAGTGCTACCACACACGGCTACACACACTGCTACCTTACACATTACTACAACCCACACACTGCTACACACACTGCTATCTTACACATTACTACAACACACACTGCTATATATGTTATAATAGCACATTATATAGTATATATAATTATTTAACTATTATATAGTATATAACATATATAGTATGTATTATATAACATATATTGCGTTTATCATATATTATATAACATATATTGAGTGTATTATATATTATATAACATATATAGCATGTATTATATAGTATATAACATATATAGCATGTATTATATATTATATAACATATATTGCATGTATTATATATTATATAACATATATTGAGTGTATTATATATTATATAACATATATAGCATGTATTATATAGTATATAACATATATAGCATGTATCATATATTATATAACATATTTGGCGTGTATTATATATTATATAACATATATTGCATGTATTATATAACATAGACTATTGATATAAAAATTAGAGATCAGCAGTGTGATACAAGGACACATTTGATACAAATTATTTAATTCTAGCTGCTATACAGTAATATATATAGCCAGTAATAACTAATAAATATTAATTTACATTATTAGTACAGTATGAGTTACAAGTTCTATACATATTTTCACAATGCAAACACATAGAAAATGCGAACAATCAGCACATGAGACGGACTGGGTAGAAATTATGTGGTTATTCCATGAAAAGAGAATTATAGCGAACAGAAAAAAGGGAATCACAAAATTTAGAACAAAAAAGCAGATTTATGAAAATTCTCCAGTTTGTCTCTGGTCACAACTCGGCTAGTTTGGTGTGAATGTCCCTGTGAGCTTAACCCCCTCAGACCCAGTGTCCTGAAAAGGGCATCACAGGCTTCTTGGTCTGATTTGCTGAAAGTTCAGTATTTCTCTCCCATAAACTGTCTAGTAACTGTCAAGGTTCGTATTGACCAATCACAGTTGAGTATTGAGAGACGATTGACCGAGACATAAAGTCAGACATCAAAGGGACACTATAGTCACCTGAACAACTTTAGCTTAATGAAGCAGTTTTGGTGTATAGAACATGCCCCTGCAGCCTCACTGCTCAATCCTCTGCCATTTAGGAGTTAAATCCCTTTGTTTATGAACCCTAGTCACACCTCCCTGCATGTGACTTGCACAGCCTTCCATAAACACTTCCTGTAAAGAGAGCCCTATTTAGGCTTTCTTTATTGCAAGTTCTGTTTAATTAAGATTTCTTATCCCCTGCTATGTTAATAGCTTGCTAGACCCTGCAAGAGCCTCCTGTATGTGATTAAAGTTCAATTTAGAGATTGAGATACAATTATTTAAGGTAAATTACATCTGTTTAAAAGTGAAACCAGTTTTTTTTTTCATGCAGGCTCTGTCAGTCATAGCCAGGGGAGGTGTGGCTAGGGCTGCATAAACAGAAACAAAGTGATTTAACTCCTAAATGACAGTGAATTGAGCAGTGAAATTGCAAAGGAATGATCTATACACTAAAACTGCTTTATTTAGCTAAAGTAATTTAGGTGACTATAGTGTTCCTTTAAACTGGGTGTAATGTTACATTGACATTAAAAAAAGTAATTTTTTTTATTTGTTTCCAATATTTTTAAAAAAAAACATTCAATGTCCAATATAATAGGTCATCACGGATCTAAACAGCATGAACACGGAGTTGGTATTGTTAGTATTGGTTTATACATTTATTGGTAATTTTATTGATAAAATACTTTTTTTTAATTCCAATGTATAATTTGGATTAAATATGATTACATTTCAGAGTATACAGCGTTAGACGCTATAAAATAAATCATGGAAGGAGCACTGTCCAGGAGAGGAGGGACGGTGTTTGCAAAGTTCATATTTAAATGTTTGTTGTTACTTTTCCAGAATTACAAGGAATTTAAGGAATATATTTGTTTTTAAACAATATGTTTTATTGGTGGCAATGTTTCTGTATAAATCTGATATAAATACATTAAAATAGTTTCCGGATTTTTTTATTGCTATACTTGGGGAAAAAAAACGATTAAACAAGATCAATTAACTTAACAAAAGGGAATGTCCTTCGTAATGTTGCTATCTCTCTGTTGTGGTGGACATTAAAAACCTGGTAATGACATCACTTAGCTAACATTCTTTTTCCCAGAATCATTTTTTTGATAACAGAAGAATACAATTTGCCTATATCATTTTTTTTCACTCAGTAGAAATAATTCAGGAATGAAGGAGTTCTAGCTCAATACAATTCACAATAATTGAGCGGATTATCCCGCAATTTTGATATATATTTTTATTTTTCCAGCTACTCGCTGTACCGAGAATTGTGATAAATTATACATTTTAAGCCAAACTAATTAAAATAAAAATAGAGCCATGTTGGGAAAACATTTCCATTAAGATATTTTTGGATTAACTTTGCAATTTCCCGGCTCTCCACAATTTGTGGTTAAATGAATAAATCTCCCTTGTTTTCTATTTCATACATGAATAAAAGCTCACAGCATTTTTCAAAATGCAAAACATGCAAAAAATGAATAGTTAGAATTATCAAATAAATGGAGCTTTGATTTGCAGAACATCTGAAATTGTCACTAGAATAATATAACTAAGCAAATGCATTTGTGATTATAATAATTGATGGTAGTAAATCAGCCCAGACAAATTGTATCTGCTGCCAGTGTCAGAGGTAAAATATACTTACCTTCAGAAGCTGCCCAGATAGAAACCATGGTCAGGAAGATGAGGGAGATGTGGAGCGCCATGTCTTGGCAGTGGTTTTGATTGAGCAAACACAGCTGTGATGGATTAACCTGCCACACTCTGTGAGTCTCTGTGAGTCCTGTCAGTGTCTCCTCTCTATATATGGGAGTCCAATTTTAACTCTCACTTTCATTTCTGCAAAGTTTCATCCCACAGATCATTAATTACTGGTATCCCCCCTGTCTGGTCCAAAATTTCCCTCTTTTTTTTTTTTGTGTACAAACAACTTGCCTTGGGTAATGCCCTGTTTCTTTTGAAACTCTGGCTTCACGTTTTACTATGTTTTGTGTTTTTTTTTTTCTTAGATATTGTGACTCATTGTTCTGGTTTTAAATAATATCTGTAGAACGTTTCTGTGGATTGCAGCAATAGAAGCAAAACATTTAGTAAAATGTAATTTGGAAAATGCAGTTGATTATTATAAATTTTACACATATACTTATAAACATGTACTAAAACGTTTGCAAAATATAAACCTTTCTTGTTTATAGAAATCTTATTACACATTGAATTCCATTTTCTAAATGTTTTGTAGATGCATTTCCCACAAGCCGCACAATATGGAATGATCATACTTTGTGCAGCATGCATCAGGCTTGATTGGCATAAAGATTGCTCCGTAAGCAGCACCACCAGCAAAATAATGTCAGACCCACAGAGGGGTGCGCAAAGCAAACAGCCTTACTCAGAGATCAATTGATTGATTTTGCAAATCTTTAATTCCGCTCAGGGCTGGTGCAAGACTAGTTTGTCAACTTTGTGTGTCTCTTTCTTCTCCTAGTCCCTTTGCGTGTCTTTTTCTTTCCCAACACCTTTATGTCTCTATTTATTCCTTCTTCAGCCCCTCTGTGTGCTCTTCCTCCCAGCACTTTTGTGGGTATCTTTATCCTCTCCAGCCCCTCTGTGTGTCTCTTTCAACATCCCCTCTGTGTGTCTTTTTCCACAGCCCCTCTGTGTGTCTCTTTCAACAGCCCCTCTGTGTTTCTCTTTCTCTTCCTAGCCCCCTTTGTGCTTCTCCTCTCCCCTCAGCCCCTCTGTGTGTCTCTTTGTTTGCCACAGCCCCTCTGTGTATTTATTTGTTCCTCTCAGCCCCTCTGTGTCTATTTGCCTGCCAGCCCCTTTGTGTGTCTTTTTGTCCCCATGGCACCTCTATGCATCTTTTTGTCCTCCCAGCCCGTCTGTGTGCTCCTTCCCCCCAGTCCTCTGTGTGCCTCTCTACCCCCCTCTACCCTCTGTGTGCCTCCCTCCTCAACTTTCTGTGTCCCTACCCCTGTCAGACCTCTGTGTGCCTCTCTTCCTCTTTTAGCCCTCTGTGTGTCTCTCCTCCTCCCAGCCCTCTGTGTGTCTCTCCTCCCCTCAGCCCCCTGTGTGCCTCTCCTCCCCCTAGCTCTCTGTGTGCCTCTCCTACCCCTCAGCCCTGTGTATCTCTTCCCCCCATTCAGCCCTCTGGATGACTCTACTCCGCCTACCAAGCCTCCAGCTTACCTCCCTTGTAGTGTGGCCGAGCTGCAGACTGCAGTAGAGGTGCTCCTATAATCTCTATCCTTTCAGACCGGGTATCGTGTTCCCTGGCTCGTCCACACTACATGCTGCGACTAGCAGGAGGGGAGCGTTGTTCTGTGCACTCTCCATCCAGATACTAAGCCCCGCCAGGCCAGTGCACCCCAGGCGGCTGCCTAATCCATCTACCTGTCACGCAGTCCCTGATTCCACCATAACAGTCAAAGGAGAAATAAACAATGATTCCATTTCTCCACCTCATTTGCAAACTGTGCCCTGTCAGTGCCAGGACTAGACTAGATTCCAGTATCGTTTCCTAAACATTTAATATAAATCTGAAAGAAAACAGAGCATCACAAAAAAATGAACACAAGTTATATACATATATATCATATATATATATTTTCAATGGAGTAATTCAATGGAGTAATTTCCAAACGAAATTATAATTTCCACTAAAAAGAATAATTTTTAAAACATACAACATTGTAGATTTCCATATGGCTCAGGGCCGTCTTTAACGCGGGGCAAACGCGGCAGCCGCCCCGGGCCCAGTGACTTCAGGGGTCCCAAAACAGCTTCCCCGTGGGTCTCGCTGCCCTCAATAATCCTCTCCCCCCCCCATTGCCGCCAGCTGGGGCCGACACACTAAGTAGGCCCACCGGGTGGCCCATGTACTTAGGGCCACCCAGTGGGCTTGTTTTTAGCAGGGGCCTGGTCACGCGAAAAAAAACAAACTGCTTTTCAGCAGTCGTCTGGAAGGGAGTGACGACCGCAAGAGAGGAGTCGTGTGGCTGGGGGCAGAATGAGCCGCGCGGGAGGGAGGAGGAAAAGGAGGCAGTGAGGAGGAGGGCCCCTGACTCCCATCAGCCTCAGGCACCACACTGGACCCCAGGTAGGAGGATGGGTTTAAAAATGTGAATTTTACATGTCTGTCTGTCTGTATGTGTCAGTATGTCTTTGTGTGTGTCAGTATGTCTGTCTCTGTGTGTGCGTGTGTCAGAATGTGTGTGTGTGTCAGTATGTCTGTGTGTGTGTCTGTATGCCTGGATCTGTCAGTATGTCTGTGTGTGTGTGTGTATGTATGTTTGTCTGTGTGTGTATCTATCTGTTAGTATTTATGTCAGTATATGTGAATGTGTGTGTGAGGGTCAGTATGTCTGTTTGTGTGTCAGTATGTCTGTCAGTGTATGTGTCTGTGTGTGTGTCAGTTTGTCTGTCAGTGTATGTACAGTTGCAAGAAAAAGTATGTGAACCCTTTGGAATGATATGGATTTCTGCACAAATTGGTCATAAAATGTGATCTGATCATCATCTAAGTCACAACAATAGACAATCACAGTCTGCTTAAGCTAATAACACACAAAGAATGAAATGATTCCATGTTTTTATTGAACACACCATGTAAACATTCATAGTGCAGATGAAAAAAGTATGTGAACCATTGGATTTAATAACTGGTTGAACCTCCTTTGGCAGCAATAACTTCAACCAAACGTTTCCTGCAGTTGCAGATCAGACGTGCACAACGGTCAGGAGTAATTCTTGACCATTCCTCTTTACAGAACTGTTTCAGTTCAGCAATATTCTTGGGATGTCTGGTGTGAATCGCTTTCTTGAGGTCATGCCACAGCATCTCAATCGGGTTGAGGTCAGGACTCTGACTGGGCCACTTCAGAAGGCGTATTTTCTTCTGTTTAAGCCATTCTGTTGTTGATTTACTTCTATGCTTTGGGTCATTGTCCTGTTGCAACACCCATCTTCTGTTGAGCTTCAGCTGGTAGACAGATGGCCTTAAGTTCTCCTGCAAAATGTCTTGATAAACTTGGGAATTCATTTTTCCTTTCGATGATAGCAATCCGTCCAGGCCCTGACGCAGCAAAGCAGCCCCAAACCATGATGCCCCCACCACCATACTTCACAGTTGGGATGAGGTTTTGATGTTGGTGTGCTGTGCCTTTTTTTCACCACACATAGTGTTGTGTGTTTCTTCCAAACAACTCAACTTTGGTTTCATCTGTCCACAGAATATTTTGCCAGTACTGCTGTGGAACATCCAGGTGCTCTTGTGCAAACTGTAAACGTGCAGCAATGTTTTGTTTGGACAGCAGTGGCTTCCTCTGTGGTATCCTCCCATGAAATCCATTCTTGTTTAGTGTTTTACGTATTGTAGATTCGCTAACAGGGATGTTAGCATTTGCCAGTGACTTTTGTAAGTCTTTAGCTGACACTCTAGGATTCTTATTCACCTCATTGAGCAGTCTGTGCTGTGCTCTTGCAGTCATCTTTACAGGACGGCCACTCCTAGTGAGAGTAGCAGCAGTGCTGAACTTTCTCCATTTATAGACAATTTGTCTTACCGTGGACTGATGAACAGCAAGGCTTTTGGAGATACTTTTATAACCCTTTCCAGCTTTATGCAAGTCAACAATTCTTAATCGTAGGTCTTCTGAGAGCTCTTTTGTGCGAGGCATCATTCACATCAGGCAATGCTTCTTGTGAAAAGCAAACCCAGAACTGGTGTGTGTTTTTTATAGGGCAGGGCAGCTGTAACCAACACCTCCAATCTCATCTCATTGATTGGACTCCAGTTGGCTGACATCTCACTCCAATTAGCTCTTGGAGATGTCATTAGTCTAGGGGTTCACATACTTTTTCCACCTGCACTGTGAATGTTTACATGGTGTGTTCAATAAAAACATGGCAACATTTCATTCTTTGTGTGTTATTAGTTTAAGCAGACTGTGATTGTCTATTGTTGTGACTTAGATGATGATCAGATCACATTTTATGACCAATTTGTGCAGAAATCCATATCATTCCAAAGGGTTCACATACTTTTTCTTGCAACTGTATATGTGTCAGTATGTCTTTCAGTATATATGTCAGTATGTCTTTCAGTTTATGTATCTGTGTGTGTCAGTATGTCTGTCAGTGTATGTGTGTGTGCCAGTATGTCTGTCAGTGTATGTGTGTGTGCCAGTATGTCTGTCAGTGTATGTGTGTGTGTGTCAGTATGTCTGTCAGTGTATGTATCATTATGTCTACCAGTGTATGTGTTCATATGTCTGACAGTATATGTGTCTGTGTATCTGTATGTGTGTGTGTGCATCTTTATGTGTGTATCTGTATGTTATCAGTGTGTGTATCTGTAGTTTCTGCATGTAGTCAGTGTGGTGGAGTATACCTGTGTGCCTGAGCATCTGCGTGTGTGTCAGGTTGTGTATCTGTTTGTCTGCATCTGCATCAGAAAATGGTAGAACCCCAGCTGTCAAAGCATTGTTGGAGTTGCACCATAGATAGGGATCTACATTATGGCCACCCTTGCGATTGGGGGGCCCAAGAAAATTCTTGCACCATGGCTATTTTTTACTTTAGTCCGTCAATGTGTTGGGGGGAGGGCTTTACTGCATGCCAGAGAGAGGTGACGGCGGCAGTGTCCATGGAACCCAAGCAAATGCTTGCCCAGGGTCCATTCAATATTAAAGATGGCCCTGATATGGCAAAACCAACTAATATAGACAATGTAAAATAAAAATATCAGAAGGAGCGTGGATAACGCTTTACCCAAAAAATA